TGTCCTTCTTGAGGAAGGGAGCCCAAAACTTTACACAGTACTCTAAATGAGGCCTTACAAGTGATATATACAATGAAACAATAATATCCCTTGTCTTGAATTCAGTGTTTCTATAGATGCTACCTAAAATCCTATTAGCCATATTGCTAGCTACAATACACTATTTAGATGACTTAAGTGATTTTTCAGTCACAACACCAATATATTTTTCTTAACAACAGTATTTAATGTATTTACATTTAAATTGTAACAATAATTTGAATTGTGAAAACCCTACATGCATCACCTTACATTTTGGATAGTTAAACATCTGCCACGTATTGGCCCAATGCATCAAATGATCTAAATCTCCCTGTAAGTCTGCAGTATCTTTGATATAGTTAGCCATCTCAAAAATCTTAATGTCATCTACAAACTTCAAAAGTTTGTTAGTCATTCCAGAGTCATTATCATTAATATAGACCGTAAACAGCAGAGGACCCAGCACAGAGCCCTGAGGCACACCACTTGTAATTGTGATCTAGTTAGATCTAACTCCATTTATTACCACTCTCTGCTTACTACTCTCTGGCTAATTTTCTGTTCAATTTAATAACATTCCTCCCACACCCACATATTTAAATTTGTAACAAGTCTTTTGTGAGGCACCTTATCAAATGCCTTCTGAAAATCAAGGTAAACCAAATCCACAGTATTTCCTTCATCAACTCTTGCAGTAACATGCTCAAAGAATGTCAGAAGACTTGTTAAACAAGACTTTCCCTCAGTGAAGCCATGCTAGCTGTTTGATAGTATATCAAATTGCTTTAAGTGACTCTGCAATGCATCTTTAGTCACACTCTCCAAAACCTTTCGAACTACTGATGTAAGACTAACTGGGCTATTATTGCTTTGACAATGTTTATCACCTCCTTTAAATATTTAACTAACATTAGCCAACTTCCAATCTTCTAATACTCTTCCACTACACAATGACCTACAAAAAATATTAGCTAGTGGTTCTCAAATATAAACTTTAAGTTCCATTAAAATTCTAGGATAAAAGTTGTCTGGTCCAGTGGATTTATGAATTTCCAAAACATACTTACCCTCTGCTGACACTTTAGCTATTTCTCAATGTTGTCTTTGCCTATCTAAGCATTGGTCTCGAATACTCCAGTTATTTATACCCCACTTAAATGCCTTTGGCAATATCTAATATGCAAATTCCTCTACCTGCGTCAATGCACCCTCTTTCCTGACATTGTATATAAACACCTCACTCAGATAATGTAATCACTTTTTCTCGACAAAGTGTTGGTCATGGTTTTGTCTGACGAAGTGCTGTAGTTTGTTCTGTTATGGATTGCGATTTACGTGTCGCCTTGTGGATTTCCACATAATTATAATTTCCTTAAAAAAATGGACGTGATGTTTGCGGGTATGAATTCCCGTATTACAGTTATCAGCACGGCGGTTTATCCGACCTCCCCTATTTCTCCTTTGTTATCTAGTTTCTCTCTACGGTCGGGGAGGTCACTCTCAGTTGAGGCTGTCCATGTTTTGATCCATTGGGAGATGGAAACATATATTCGGTCTGGGGGTGTATTCTACTAGGGCCTCTAAAGTTGCCTTGTTTGTTGATCCTAGTTATTCTGGGGAGAATTTGGACTTGGTTTTTCTGATGCTCCTTTTTACTAAGTCCAATTTCGATTAACCACTTCCTACTCCTTTTCTTCAATAAGTCATTTGGGTTATGAGCTTTTGGGGCTTTCCTCTGTGACCTTCAAGTATACTCCTACCTTGATAGTGGAACAGTCAGGGGGGGGGGGGCTATTTAGTTTTTCCTTCTTCACCTGATAATCCTAGTTCATGCTGAAAGATTTACTGCTGCTTTATTGTGTGTGACGGGATAGATATACCTTATACTCTAACTTGTCTGTTTGCATGCTTTGGCTTTCCACTTCCAGGGGGACGTATTTTTTCAATTCTACAAATTTAAATTTTGATATATGGGGTTCCAGTTTGGTTCATTTGATCACTTGAACCAATCACATTTTTTGTATTTGTTTCTCAGTGATGTTTCTTTCCCCATAAATTGTTGACAGACCATCAATGGTCCCCACATTAATTTGCAGACAAATGGGGCCTCATACTGACTTTTATCTTGATCAAATTGCCTGCTTCTGTAAAGATACCTTGGTGAAAGGACTTTGTCTACCTGATGTAGCCTCTGGGTGTTACATGTGGCTTACTTATATCGTCACTTTCATGTTCACGAGTGTCCCAGAGGCATTTGTATTGCAAATTGCCATCACCCATTTGATTTTTTGTTGTTGTTGAACTCTCGACCTTCTTTAGCTCTAGCAGTTGAATAGACTCAGACCTTAGTTTAAGGGCCACTCCATTTGGGCCAACTGATGCCACTGCTATCGTTATGAACCTAAGTGTGTGGGGGGGGACAGTAAGAGTGAGGTTACAACTAATGATAGACACGTGGTATTCCTTCACTGCAGATCCATGGGCACTTCGGGTTCTGGTATCGAGGTTAGTCTTTCCTTTAATTCTTCACCTCCATTATCCTCTCACCCTGTGGTATTTCCACCTCCACCTGATCAGTGGGGTGTGAATTTTCATTTCATGACTATCAGAATTACTGATCATGGGGGGTGGTAGTGACAGTTGATCCCATTCTTCTGGGATTTTATTCCTGTTTCTTTGCTGTGCCTGAGATGAAGGGAATTCATGGATGATCATCGTTCTTTCTCATCTCAGTCCATTCTTTGTTTCTTTCCAGTCCACAATGGAGTCCTTTCTCACCCTACATTGGCATTCTTCATCAGGTCCATAGATGCCCAAGTTTGTGGTTGATGAGGCATTTCTCCACATTCTCATAGTGAATTCATCTTGCTTTTAGCTATTTTTTGTATATACAGGGATCAGATTCTGCAGTTCAAGGATCTAGTCTTTTGTCTAGCATATGTCTTCTGCTGGGTTGTTAAAGTTTTCACCATGTTTTATGCCTGGCTCAGCCACTTTTCATCTAGCTCCAGGCTATGGCATGAGCAGTCAGGCTCTTACTTACAGGGAAGGTTCTATCTCTGGGGAAGCCTTCAAATCTCTTGCATTTTTTTGGGATGAGGAAACATGCTATCCCTTCAGTGGTCCCATTGCAAAAAATTGACTGGAACTTCAATACACTGGATTTTCCAGTCTCTTTCTTCAGGAACAACATCTTAGTTCTTGGGTGGTGTTTGGTTTGGATCACCTCTGTCATTAGCATGTGTATGTATATGTGTGTGTGTGTATATGTGTGTATGTGTATGTATATATATGGGTGTATAAATGTGTGTATGTATGTGTATAAATGTATACTGACTCTCTGTCCATAGTTTCTCTTCACAGATACTCTTCACTTGGGGGATGTGGTGTGTATCTTCAAGGTCAGGAATTCTAGGATATATGAATGGAGGACACATCTTCATTTCATCAATTCCAGTGGTTTCTTAAATTTGGTTCTTTCTCTATGGGGCCTATTCCAATCATGTCAGCCTCCTGGCTTGCCATTTTCCTGGGGTGATGGATTTCATAGTAGATTGTTAGTCTCAGTCCTCACTTTCCCCTGAACAA